TCAGTAAAAACTCTTGTCTTTCTCCTCTTGTGATAAGTTTGGATAAGTAGATTTATAGACCAAACAATTAAAAAAAAAGTTATTTGAAGGTGTTTGGTATCTTTCTGTACTTTCGTTGGGGAGGGAAGTTTTTATCATTAGAGAAGTGAATTCTTAGTGAATAAGAAACAATTAAAACATTCCTGATGAGGACAATAACAAGTCATCATGGAGCTTTGAAAAGAAGAAAAATGCAGCTCTCTGAAAAAATGACCCATTAGACACATAATTGTTTACTCTGTGTACACACCAGCGAACAGTCTAAGTTAAGTGATACATAAAAGCACAAATAATCTTCCAAGGTCAGAAAGAGAAAACTAATCTGAGAAAATTAGAAAACAAGAGAGCAGAGTTTATCTAACAAAAACTTTGAAGTCTCTGAAGTTTTTAAAAGAAAACTGACACTAACAGTGTCATATAAATCTTATCAGAACCAAAATATGACAAAAATCCTGTACATTTTTATTTTATTCTCACTAACTAAACCTGAAATGGAAAGTTTAGCCTCTGATTTGAGCATGAGTTGGTTCTCCAAGTGTCTGTGTTTTATTTGACTCCATCAGAAGCCGAGGACAGCAACGAGACGCTGTCCTCTGAGGAAGATCAGGATCTGGGGGACCTGAACTTAGACCAGACCCTCAAACAGGACTTCACCTCCTCCAAGAAGAGCATCAGCCAGATTATTAAGGACAAGAAGAAACAGACCCAGCTCACTCTGCAGTGGTAAGAGAACCAGAAACAGCAGGAAGATCTTCAGAAAGAAAAACAAATCTCCTCTATAAGGGACAGAAGTGGCATAGCTTTAATTGAAGTACAAACAAAACCTGTTCCTTGTTCCCATAAAAAGGCACGCAGGCCTTAACAGTGAATCCAATTCAGACATTATGAGAACTGAACCCAACTCTGTTCTGTATTTTGATTTTTTTTTTTGGTCCATGTGTCACCTCTTGCAGTTTTTCTTAACAAGTATTATCGAATAATAAGACTTAATGACCAGGTCAGTAATTTGTCTTTGTCCTGATAAGTTCAAATCTCCAAAGAAAAATGTTTTTTACCAAATGAGGACGGTCTTTTTATCATTAACCGGCTGCTTTAGAGCTTCAATCCTGCACAGATTCTAATAATTAAACAAAAAATATATCTAAAGACCATGTAATGTTAACCCTTTAAAGCCTGATCCAAGAATAAAACAAAACAGAAAATGACTTTTTTTTGTTTGAATTCCTTATTTGGCCTTTTAACAATATATGTAAAAAGAACAAACAGAAATACATTTTTGATATTAATAATTTATTACTATGCGATAAATCAAGATTATTTTTCGTGTCGTCTTCTGTTATCAGGTGTATCTGATTGTGTACAACAGGATTTTGAGCATAGTTTTTACCATTAAATTAAGCAAAAGGTGTCAGAGGCAAAACATTTCAGAAACCGTATGAATCAAATATGATACATTTGGCATTACAGGGTTAAACACGTCTTGACTTGCTGTTGAGTTTATTTAATTTCTAAACAAAAAGTCAAAGTACTTTGGCCTGATATTAACCAGATTAAACAGTGAGGCGGGATTTTGCGTTTTTACAAACCAAAACAGTCAAATTACATATGTAGCAAACGGTTTCTAACTGGTAGCTGAAGACAGGCATCAGTAATAAATCTGTTTGTTTATCATTCTGGTACATCTGAACAAAATATTCTTGTTGTCTCTTTGTTTGTGTCCCTCCCCAAAAAAGATGGTTTTGTCATTTACTGTTTACTGTTTAAAAGTAAATTACTTTTAAACAGTAAAAGTCATTTTACTGACTACATAAGTTGTATTCATTACTTTGAAGTTACAGTGTTTTAGTTTTAGAAGTTAAATTGTTGATTTTCTGCCCGAACAGGCTGGAGGAGAACTACATAGTGTGTGAGGGAGTGTGTCTGCCCCGGTGCATACTTTATGCCCATTATCTCGACTTCTGCAGGAAAGAGAAACTCGAACCGGCCTGTGCTGCTACTTTTGGAAAGGTGTGTTAATATTCCTGATAATTTCTCACTTTTTGATGCATCAGAGAAATAGACATAGACTTAGACTTAGACAGTACTTTATTGATCCCTTGGGAAGTCTCCCTCAGGAAATTAAGGTTACCAGCAGCTTAAAGGGCAAAAAGTATTAAGTTATTAAGTTAAAATTAAATTAAGCAAAAAATATAAATAAATAAATGAAATAAAAAATACAAAAAATACAGATTAAGTATTAATTTAATACAGATGTAGAAAACTGCTTAAAACACAGTATTTGTGTCTCGAATTCGAACCCTTTAATGATCCAACCAAAGCCTAATTCCTTTTTTCCTCATCAGACAATCCGACAGAAGTTTCCTCTTCTGACCACGAGACGACTGGGCACCAGAGGACACTCAAAGTAAACATTTCACAACAGCTTTTTATTTGCAAGCCATTCCCTTTGTGACATTATAATGCTGCCATTTTACAGATATCATTACTATGGAATTGGCATCAAAGAGAGCAGCGCTTATTATCACTCTGTGTATTCGGGCAAAGGTTTGACCAGGTAACATTAAAAAGCTACTCTTTCTTTTGCTTTTAAATTGTTTGAAACACCTCTCCTTTGAATTTTAATTTTCAGTGTGTGTCTTTTGTTGAGCATGCATGCCATTTTTAAAACTCTTTTGAACTTTAAAACATTTGTTATTCTTTATCTAGAATCTTTTTTGTTTTGTTTTTCTCAGATTTTCAGGGAGCAAGCTCAAGAATGAGGTAATTTTCAGTAATTTTCCAAGTAAAATATCAAGATATTTAGAGGATTTCATGTATACGATGAAACTTTTAAGAAAACAAAAACAGGAATTAACCACAAAAATTGGGAAATTGGGTGGGTGTAATGTCATTGATGTGTTAAAATGTACAATTATTAACTCGATTAGAAATTAAATATGGACTGGAAAGCCTTGAGATGGTCATTGAATGAACACTGGACCTCAGCCTGACCGAAATGCTGTGGTGGGACCTTCAGAAACCTCAGTGAACTGAATAAAATGCTGTAATGTACTAATTTGTGAAACTTCAATTAGAAACGCTGCATGCTTTCTTACTGATAATGTGCAGAAATATGATGAAAATCAAACTAAATCAAACTAGATAGCTTTTTGGCTGCACGTTTGGGGAAAAAAATAATGTTTTGCCTTTTGAAAAGAAAAAAAATATAGCCATGAGTGTAATTTCTGCCTAATATCTTTATCAAAAAGTAGTTTGACTGAAGAGTTGAGGGAGATTTCTCAGATTTGGTGTTCTCATTTGTCTAATAAAGCCGAAGCTAAACGGGCTGTTTTTTACAGGGCGGCTTCACCAGAAAATACTCCCTGAGCTCTAAAACCGGAACGCTGCTCCCGGACTTCCCCAACGCTCAGCACCTGCTGCTGCAGGGAAACGTCTCCAGAGAAAAGGTACGGGGTCCATCTTTTCAATTCAATTCAATTTTATTTATATAGCGCCACATCACAACAACAGTTGTCTCACAGCGCTTTCCAAACAGAGCAGGTCAGACCCTACTCTGAAGTTAATTACAGAAACCCAACAATTCCCACCATGAGCAAGCACTAGGTGACACAGGCAAGGAAAAACTTCCTTTTAACAGGCAGAAACCTCGAGCAGAACCATGGCTCAGGGTGGGTGGGGGGGCATCTGCCTCGGCCGGTTGGGGGTTTCTGTTTGATTCGACCGTTTTCCAGTAAAGAAACAACTATCTGTGTTTTTTTCCCTTTCTCAGGTGGACACTCTGATCATGATGTATAAAACACACTGTCAGTGCATCCTGGATAATGCCATTAATGTGAACTTTGAAGAGGTGATCACTCATGTTCCACCAGATCTTAAAGAATATGTAAATATTTCCTTGCGTACTCAAATTAATACAACAATTTTATAATATTTCTTTGTCAGATCCAGAACTTCCTGCTCCACTTCTGGCAGGGGATGCCCGACCACCTGCTCCCTCTGTTGGAAAACCCCGTCATAGTCGACATATTCTGTGTCTGCGACTCCATTCTCTACAAGGTGGCCCCCAAAATCATTTTCTTTATGTTTTTTTCTGTGGATTTTTATTCGATTTAAGAGTACGGAGGCCTTAAAGCAACGAAAAGGTAGCCGATTTTACAGGAGGTCGACGTTTGTAAAAAAATTTAACTGTGATTTATGTAACGGAAGTAGAACATTTTGTGACTCTTGACTCACCCTGTATTTTACCTCTGACTTTGTAAATAGAGGGCTTAAATCCCTGGGTGATTCATGAAGGCTTTAGTCAACTAGTCAGAGCTGAGAAACCACTAAAATTTGTAACATGAAAGATTTAAAAGAATAAATCAACTAGATGTGTGGGAAAAATCAATGGACCTGAAAACATGATACAAGGGATACAATAGAAATTGTCAAAGAAATGGCAATTAATAACACAGAACAGCTTGTAAAACAGGATAACCTCATTTAAAACTATTACTTCTGTTATTTAGGAAGATTTTAAACCCAAATGGTCAGTAAAAATGCACAGGCAGCTATTCCTAAGTTAAACTTATTTATGAGATCAGAAAGTAATTCTGTCTATTTCTTAAATCAACAGAAAATATAAAATAATAAAAATATGATATTTATACACCATTTTTATTATTTTAACAAAATAATAATAAAAAATCATTTTTAATTAGTTTTGTCAGTATTGGTAGGCAACTATTATCCAATTGATTCTGAGTAAGAGAGATGTCCCAGAAAATTTCAATAAAAGAAACATAAAACTAAAAAATCCTGCTCTAAATGCCACTGTGCTCTGTTCTTCTCAGGTCCTAACAGATATTTTGATTCCTGCCACCATGCAGGAGATGCCGGAAAGGTTTGTTCCTCCAGCTTTGACACAAAAATACCACTTTTATTTGACTTTTTTCAACACTCTGATCTAAGTGGAAAAACTCTTTAGTTAAAGCTCAAATGAGAACGTTTTGCCTGTTTTTTTTGCGACAGCCTGCTGGCAGATATCAGAAACTTCGCCAAACACTGGGAGCACTGGTTAGCCTCGTCTCTGGAGAATCTCCCAGAATGCCTTGCAGCTAAGAAGCTCCCCATCGCGAGGCGCTTTGTTTCCTCCCTGAGAAGACAGACCTCCTTCCTACACCTGGCACAGGTACGGATCTATCGAGGAGTACTCTGTAAGAATCAGAGGGAGTGTGATGATTGGTTGATGAAGCCTCTCTTTGATCTTTGACCTTTGACCCCAGATAGCCCGGCCGGCCCTTTTTGACCAGGCGGTGGTCACCAGCATGGTGCTGGACATCGACAACGTGGACCTGAGCAGCATCAGCTCACAGCCTCTGCTCAGCATCACGTTCTCCGGAGACCAGGACTCAGACATCTACTCTGAGTGTACGAAGACTGTAAACCTCACATTTACACACTTATTCTACACATTTTGCCGAATGATTTTGATTGAATGAATTGTTTTATTATGACATTAGGAGTTGGTCCATCACACTCTAAATTTTATTTTATTTTATTTTATTTTATTTTATTTTATTTTATTTTATTTTATTTTATTTTATTTTATTTTATTTTATTTTATTTTATTTTATTTTATTTTAAAGCAAAAGTCTGAGTCCATCTGAGGAAGTAAGAAATAGAAATTCATTAAAAGGGAAAAAAGGGAAAACTTATGAAGTGAGAGCAGCCAGCACCAAACTGCCCCAAAGTGAAACAAATCATGGTGCATTTTATACCCCTCTGAGCCTGAAAATAAGACGTAAAGTCTGTCTTTCATTCTGCACCTGTATTAAACATCCTCCAGACAAAACATTAAGAGATGAAGAATAACGAGACCCTCTCTGAAAACTAGAAGGAGGAATGACTAACTGAAACACGTCTGAACAAAAACGTAAATACAGGAGCTCCATCAATCTCCGTTACAGAATCTTTGAGTGCTTTCTTTAAGGAGCCTCCAGAAAAGCTCTCCAGCTTCTTGAGGAACTTCCCAAAGCTCTTCTCTAAAAAAGCGTCTGCTGCCTTTGGCTCCGTTCTCTGTCAGAGAGACACGCTGCTTCCTGGTTTCATCCCGGTTCTGACCCACTGTGGGAACTCAGGAACTCTTCTTTTGGCTCTATTTTGGTCATTTTAGCTTCTTTTTGCTTTGTTCTGGCCTTTTTAGCTCTATTTTTGATTTTTTGGTTTATGTTTTTGGTCATTTTAAGCCTAGTTTTCAACTTTTTGGTGAATATTTGGTCATTTTAAGCCTTGTTTTCACCTTTTTGGTGAATATTTGGTCATTTTAAGCCTTTCTTTTCTTTTTTGGTGTATTTTTTGTGTTATTTTAAGCCTTGTTTTTGCTTTTAAGTTAATATTTGGTCAATTTAGCCTTGTTCTTGTTTTTTATGTTGTGTTTCTGGTCATTTTTAGCCTTGTTTTTCCTTTTTTTCTGATGTATTAAAACACTCAGAGGAGTGAGGATCCGTCCCTCCGTCAGAAATGCTGGGGTTCAGTCCACTTATGGTTCCTCTGGCAGAGCAACACTTTTCCTTCCTGTTTCCTTCCTTCATGGCTTCTTACAGCCCCCCTTCATGGAGAGCATTTCTGATTCAGCCACCAGGAGATGAACATCTGGAGGTCCAGATGCAGCTCTCAGCTCCTGTTCAGCTCTCTGCTGGATCTGAAGGACCTCACTTTAAGATCCTCTTCATCTGCTGGATTACAGAGTTTTTTAGGCCCAGCTCTTCTTCTTTTGTCCTATACTTGTCCAGTTTCCTCAAAGCTTTTAAGGACTCACTGCTCACCAGGCTGAGATCTGCCCAGTTTTCAGCCAGCAGCTCTTTGGGAACCGTCAGAAATCCTGTTTCCTGTCTGTCAAACAGAGCTATCTTTGGCCTTTTTCCCCACACCAGATAAAGAAATGGGAACAAATACTCTGTATCTCTCGGATCCTCTTCATCTGCTGGATTACAGAGTTTTTTAGGCCCAGCTCTTCTTCTTTTGTCCTATACTTGTCCAGTTTCCTTAAATCTTTTAAGGACTCACTGCTCACCAGGCTGAGATCTGCCCAGTTTTCAGCCAGCAGTTTCCTGTCTGTGAAACTGAGCTATCTTTGGCATTTTTCACACATCAACTAAAGAAACTGGAACAAATTATCTCTCTTTGTGACAGGCTGCAGCTAACAAAGAGCCCTAAAGATCCAATTTAAACTGCTCCTTTGCCAAGTTGGACACAACGCTAGCTCATCCCTTGAGTTAGGAGTTTGTCCTGCTCTGAAATGATCCTCTGGTCATTGTGAGGTGGACAAACACAAGACACATGCTTTTGAAAATGGTCTTGAATGATGACATGACTAAGAAGAAGTGAAAAATCAGCCGATATCCATAGAAACACTTTGAAAACCTGGAGAACTGAGATGTTCTCATTCTTGTACTTTACCCAAATTCAGACTCTTAAAAATCCACTGCTCAGTTAGTGATTCTTGCATCAGGTAATGATTCTGCTGAGCATCAGGGACACCTGCCATTTTCTTTTGTTTTGGTTGAACAGCTCTTCAAAGAAGCTCCAGCTGGGGATGTCAAATTAAACGTATTTAACCGGGTTAATGAATAAACAAACTGTGGGATGTAAGAAGAAATCACGATTATCTTTAATGATCTCACACAGAGGAGATTGTTTCCCACTTCAGCTTGTCGGTTTAAGCAAGACAGAGCAAATTTATTCAAATAAGGACTCATTCTTATCTCTAAGTATACAATTTTAGGTTTGTGACACTTTTAATACTAAATACTAAGTAAATAGTTTCACTTTTATTTAAAATTTTCATTGTTTTAATCAAATACATCCAAATTAATTTAGAAGCTTTCCTCCCACGTTGGACTATTTTTTCTGCACTTTATTATCATGTTGTATACCTTATTATTATCTATGTGAAAGGGGACTTTTGGAATGTTTTCATGTAAAATATATTTTCTTGTAATGATCAATTTGATGTTTTTTACATTGTTTGCTTTGTTAACCATTTGAAATGTTAAAACTTTTACATTTTCCTTCTCACTCACCTTCACAAACCCGGTCTTGTCTCTTTTTTCCATTTGTTTAAGAAAGGATTAATCAGGAAAATGTATTTAAAAGAGTTGTAGAATTGACACAGAACATTTAAAACGTCTCTCCATTTGTGGGATATTTTGCTTTTTTCCAGATGATTCCATCACTGTCTTTCAGGAGCTGAAGGAGCTGCTGAGGAAAAACGCCACAGTGGAGTCGTTCATTGAGTGGCTCGACTCTGTGGTTGAGCACAAAGTCATCAAGGTAACAAACGTCCTCATATTTTTTGCGTTTCACAATTCGTCAGATTCACAGTCTGTGTCTCGATCAGCCGGGAAAGCAAAGCGGTCGGTCGGTGAGGAAGCGGGCTCAGGATTTCCTCCTCAGATGGAGCTTCTTTGGGGCCCGAGTGATGCACAACCTCACACTAAACAACGCCTCCAGCTTTGGTAAGAATACGTCCACAAAAATGTAGCAAAATCCTCATTAAATTTAAAAAAAGATCAAATGTTGTTATGCGATCTGTTCTGTCTAATGTTTTTTTATTTTATTTTGTGAAGTCCTGGAAAACAAACTTAAAGCATCATCTCAAATTCAGAAAATTAAACTAATGTTGTGTTCAATAACATCAGGGAAAGTTAAGAGTTTTGCTTTTATTTTCAATAAGAATTGTAGAAATACAGTACGTCCCAAAAAAAGCATTGTTCATTAAGCAGTTTTGTGTAGATAATTTGGCAACTAGTTTTCACAAATCTCTAGGACAACCGCAACATGTTGAAATATGTCCCGAAAATGTCAGAATTTATGCTACAGCATCTTTTCTTTACAGCATTTAATGAATGCTCAGTCTTAACTGAATATGTGAGATATGAACATTTAAAATATGGCAGCAGGGAGTTTTTACTAGGACTTTCTTAAGAGATGGATTTCATGTATAATCCACATAATAAGGGGAACAGTATTGACTTAAAAAAGGTCTTAAATTGCCAAATAAATACACTGATAATGGGATTGGGCCTTGAGAAAATCTTTTTAATAAGACGTGACATAAACCATGGTAGAAAAGTTGGAGAATTACAATTAGACTTAAGAAAAAGATTTTATGATCATCAGTGTAAAAGGTCTTAAAAAATCAAATGAAGATGTCTGGACAAAGATATCAGAGAAAATTCTGGGAAATAACAAATACCTCAGATAATGCCAAAAAGATCAGAAAAAAGGGTTCACTCTAACATATTTTTCTGTTACATTTGTGTGCTATAACGTTGTCACAAACCCTTCTAAAAGCCTTCATGGGTCCAGGCCCCCCACAAAGCTTTTAGACCCCTCGAAATCCACTCAAACCAGCCCACCTCGCACAGAAATAAACCAGCTTGAAGCAGTCTGCTACAATAGCATCATAAATCGTAATGGCCAGACTTGGCTTGATTACACAGAGTCTTATCTGAGGTCCGGTGCTCTCTGTTCAAACACGCGGAGGCTGGTGGTGTGTGCGTGAATAAACACGGACCATTTGGTGGGTCCTGCTCCCTCTGAAGTCCCACTGAGGCTCAAACAGGTCAAACAGAGAGCAGCTCGGCCCCAAGGGTAAAAAACGCTGAGCTCAGCTGCTTTTTCGCATTTCATCAAGCGTTTATCAAGCGTTTTTTTGTTGTTGTTTTTTTTAATTAAAGTTTTTTAATCATTTTTCTTTTATAACACAGTTACAAACAGATTCAACATTCAACAGCAGCTTTTTCGCATTTCATCAAGCGTTTTTTTTTGTTTTTTCATTAAAGTTTTTTTTAATTCATTTTTCTTTTATAACACAGTTACAAACAGATTACATTCAACAACAAAAACACAAACACCGGCAGCAACACAGAACACGACAGCACTTATCAGTTACCTTTTCACAGATATATCAATGCACATATTCATACTCACGGTATACAGTGGGGGAAATAAGTAATTGACCCCTTGCTGATTTTGCAGGTTTGCCCACTTAGAAAAAATGCAACGATCTATAACTTTAATCATATGTACATTCTAACAGTGAAAGACAGAATCCCAAAGAAAATTCCAGAAAATCACATCATATGAATTTATAAAAATTGATAACCATCTGATGAGGAAAAATAAGCATTCTTTGTAAGTGAGCAAACCTGCAAAATCAGAAAGGGGTCAAATACTTATCTCCCCCACTGTAGCAATGCACATATTCATACTCACAGTATACATCACCCCCCAAATTCCTTAACCCTTTAAATCCCGATCCAAGAATAAAACTAAACAGAAATTTTTTGTTTGAACTCCTTATTTGGCCTTTTAACAAAATATATAAAAACATACATATTTAATATTAATAATTTATTACTATGCGATAAGTCAAGATTATTTTTTTGTGTAGTCTTCTGCCCCCTGTTATCAGGTGTATCTGATTGTGTACAATAGGATTTTGAGAAAAGTTTTTACCATTAAATTATGCAAAAGGTGTCAGACGCAAAACATTTCAGACACCGTACGTATCAAATATGACACATTTAGCATTAGAGGGTTAATCTTCCTTCAGCTTTTGGGATGCCCTCTGGCATCAGTGACTCGTCTCCTAAAAGGCTAAATTGTGCAGACTGGTAGAAGTTCACTAAGCCAGTCCTCGAATATTTTCATCCAGCGGTTTTGAGGCCGTTTACATGGATGTAAAGTCTTTAATGGGCACCTTGTTGTCTTCCTTCAAAGGGTCCTTCCACCTGATCCGGATGCTTTTGGACGAATACATCCTGCTTGCTTTGGAGACCCAGTTCAACAACGACAAGGACCAGGACCTGCAGAACCTGCTGGAGAAATACATGAGAAATGCAGGTATCAGTCACCACAACACACGGACACATCTGCCCCCAAACGTGAGGAAGCAGCACTCTTTTTACGACTGTAGTAAATATATCACATTTAAATTCAAGTCAAGTCAAGTCAAGTAAGAGTATAGTAAGAGTAACAGTAAGAGTACGTATAAGTATAAGAGCTGCCCAGACCATAGAGGAGTTTAAGTCCTGTTTAAAAACCCATTTATTCGACATGGCTTTTAACATTTTAACCTTAGGTTGAGGTAGAGCACCTTTTTACCTTTTTTATTTATTTTATTTATTTATTTATTTTTACATTAAAATCACATATACATGCTTTTATGTACAGCACTTTGGCAACCTTGGTTATTTTAAATGTGCTATATAAATAAAGTTTGACTTGACTTGACATTTAAATTATATTATTAATATTTATAGCATCTGTTTTTTTTTAGGAAGGACTGTACAAATAAAGTAAAATGATACACTCTCCAGTTCTAGTGTTTCAGGCTATACGTTATACAGGCATATCACTGGTCAAATTATCCGCCAAACTCCTATATTACATACACACAACTCCTATTATATACACTATACTTAATCTGTATTTTTTTTTTTTTTTTGCTTAATTTTATTTCATTTAACTTAATACTTTTTTGCCCTGTAAGCTGCTGGTAACCTTAATTTCTTGAGGGAGTCTTCCCATGGTATCAATAAAGTACTGTCTAAGTCTAAGTTTAAGTCTTAAAATGAAATAATACAACCCCAGAATGAGGAAAGATACAGTTTTAATATCTATTTGTTAAAAAATTAAGGCAAAATGCCAAGGAGGAAAGACATCAGAATGATCTGAGAGAAGCAGCTGTTGCTACCAATCAATCTGAAGGATTTGAGAAGGTTTCCAAACTATTTCGAGTCCATTATTCTACAGAAAGAAAGATAATAATAACAATAAACAATAATCGGAGTGGACATCCAAGCATGGTCACTCAAAGGTCATCAAAGGGCTAGAGGGCTAAAGGTCAAAGGTCATGAAAGCACAGTGAGGAAAAAGTCCAAACAAGTAAGGTTTGTTGGTTTGGGCTGCTGGAGACAAGCCTCTCCTCTGGAATAAATTAAATAAAACGGATAAAATCCATCCTAAACCATGAGAGAGAGAAAAATACATAATCCAGAAACCAGATGATGTGAAACCAGATGTTGTGTTTTTTTTATCACCTCTGTTTCAGACGCCAGTAAAGCTGCCTTCATGGCCTCGCCCAGCTCCTGCTTCCTAGCCAATCGCAACAAACCCTCAGGTCCTGCCGACCAATCGGTGAAGAACGAGTCTCTGGCAGAACACGCCTACATGTCTCTGTCCACCAATCGGCATCAGAGCCTGGAGGCAAAACCGGTCCTCTACCAGGGAACCGACAGCCCCGGGTTCACAGTCTCAGGTAAAACAAAACCCACTCTAAAACAAAGGGAGAGAAATGAGCCATGGTTCTGCTCGAGGTTTCTGCCTGTTAAAAGGAAGTTTTTCCTTGCCTGTGTCGCCTAGTGCTTGCTCATGGTGGGAATTGTTGGGTTTCTGTAGTTATCTTCAGAGTAGGTCTGACCTGCTCTGTTTGGAAAGCGCTGTGAGACAACTGTTGTTGTGATGTGGCGCTATATAAATGAAATTGAATTGAATTGAATTAATTTTAATTTCGTAATGTCATTGTCTGAACGTGTGTTTGGACTGATTTTGTATTTTGTGCTTTTGTGTTGTTTGGTCTTCCTGCTTCAGGACTACAGATGTAAACTAGCAACTATGCTAGAATCTGGCTCATTTATAATCTGTATGAGATTGTTCATTAATGTGCACTGTCCTGATTAAAGAAATAAAAAATAATAATAAAAAAAGGATATTCAAGAAAAAACAAAAAAACTAAACAAAAAAAAAACAGGAGGATTCTGAGCCCCAAATAACAAAAATTAAAACAAATTTGGGATTTGAGCCACTGATTGTACTTAAATAACAAAACCTTTAATATCCAAGCTAATATCATTCTATTTATTTTGGTGGTCCATTTCACACGACTGAGAGACAAATAAGTAAGGCAATTTACAATAAACTGAAATATTTCACAGAAATAATTAAGTGGGATACTCTGCTGTGGTAACAGGAGGGCCTAAGAGGCCAGATTTAAAGGAGTATTCCTGATCTCAAAGGCGATTAATCTGTTGAGAATAGTGTGGATGTGGGGTCAAATGTGGTCTATATATATATACACACACATATATATATATATACATATGTATGTACATTTATATATAGACTTATATGGTTTTCTTATTGAAGGATTCACTTATTAAGGATCTTTCCGAGTAGGAACTTCCACAGTTTAAAACCTGGTACAAACTGCATTAAAGCTGTTTAGGTTCAAATACGATACAATTATCAATCAGATTCGAGCCTCAACCATTAAAAACATCAATTTTCTGACCACCAGGAGAAACAGCAGCTTCTATTTGCTTCATTTTTCAGTTCTGTAGATCAGTATTTTTCAACCACTGTGCCTCGGCACACTAGTGTGCCGTGAGTGATGGTCAGGTGTGCCGTAGAAAATCATCCTATTTCACCTAATTGGTCTAAAAAGATTTTTTGATAAGTAATTAATTATCTGCAATTAATGTGCCATTTTTGAGTGTCTGTGCTGTTCTAGTGACTGGTGACGTATTCATGTAATAATTCCTTATGACTAGATTTTGTATATAATTTTGTATATTGAAGTGGACATGTTAAGAGCAGTTTGAAAGAAGAAATATAAAATATGATAAACATACATTTTTGTGTTTATTTGATTCTTATTCAAGACACTTAAGATAAGACTTGTCATTGTACAAAAAACACAAGGTGAATCTTGACAACGAAATGTCGATTACTTGATAAAATAAGAATAACTATAGTGTTACTATAGTTTAACATTTTTGGTTGGTGGTGTGCCTCGGGATTAATTCAATGAAAAAATGTACCTCGGGTTAAAAAAAAGTTGAAAAATACTGCTCTAGATGCTTGTTTACTATAATAAAACAGACTTCCTGTCTTAATACCTCACACTCAGGTGGTCAGATGGACTTCAGCGGCCCCCTCATGACGCCTCCCATCTCTCCGTTAGTGAACCGAGGCTCCGTCATCAACCAGGGGCCCATGGCAGGGAGGCCCTTGGCTTCTTCTTCTCCTCCTTCTTCCTCCACCTACTCCACCTCCCTGTCCTCCTGCCTCTCCTCTCTGGGAGTGATGACCCAGCCCAGCCCCTGTCCATCTTACTCAGAGAACCTGTATCACTGTTTACCTCAGACCAGTTCCGGTTATTTCCCGCCCTCCAGCAGCTCCTCCAGCCAAAACTACCAAACTATCAGGTAGGGTTGTCAAAAGTATCGATACTAAAATGTTGTATCCGGATACAATACTCATTTTCAAAAGTATCGATACCACCGTCGCTGCCCCCCTTCTCTCTGATTTATTTATGTATTTATATACGTTGTTTATGATCATTAACTCATTGACTGCCAGCCATTTTCAGAACAGAGAGTCCCAGAGAGTTTTTTTTAGCATTTTGACTGATTTTTCAAGAGCCACAGAATAGTTTGTGCTATGACTATGTAAACACCAAACACACCAAAAGAAAGAGTAGACTCTCTTCCTTCATCAGGAAAAAAAAATTGTTTCTACCTTATTCCGTTTTTCCTGGACTTGCGTCTCACCGGCGCCATTTCTCGCATAGCGAACCATTGCGTTTTTTTTTATTTGCCTACAATCTATGCTCAAATCCCATCAAAAGTGGCACTGCCCCCTAGAGGGTCAATTTGTTACTACATACTCTGTCTATAAGCCGATATTTATGGAAAAGCTTTAGCAGATCGTCCCCCAGCCACTCGCGTTGAAAAACATAAAAGACGTCTATAGACGTCTTTGGCAGTCAATGAGTTAACAAGAGGTTAGCCTTGCTAGCTGCGGCTAATGGCTAATAATAACAAGCTACCATTAATCAAGTACATATCCAACTCTGCCCACATCCAATTCGGACATTTTGATTACATCACCAATAGGAAGATCCCAGGCAAGAAAATCCTAATTGCTTCATGGCAATATAGACATTCATTTAAAAATAGTGAAATGAATCTTTTAAGCACTGAATTAAACTCTATACATATTATGTTAAATAGTGTATATTAAATCGGTTTGTACAATAAGTCCAAACAAGTTTAACCCAAAAATATTTATTTCTCACAATTATGAAGGGTGGAGGGTTAGGGTTAGGGTCATTAATGTGGGCCACCATAAAATCAGTAACAGGTCAGTTTGAAATCAAAGACACAATTCAGTTAAATTTTGAGGTCTTTGTTTTTATCCTTGTGGTATCGAAAATGGTATCGAATATCGAGTATTTTCCTGAGTATCGGTATCGAGTTGAAAATTTTAGTATCGTGACAACCCGGTCAGCTTCAGTCTCAGCCTGGGAGTCTTCTTCAATCATTATAATCAAATTAATCTATGAGGCTTAGAGAGAACACAAACGTACAGATTTCTTCTCTTTCTCTCAGTTCTCAGACCCAGAATCAGTGTCTGACTCCACTCCAGGCTCAGGCCTCCCCTCTGACCTGCCACCTGCCCCGATACCCCCCCATCAACGACCAGCACCTGACCAAAGACCCCTTCTACAACCCCCACCCCGCCCTGGTCCACCACTACAGCCCCGGTCCAGACCCGGCTCAGGCCGAGCAGCAGCTGGACTCGGCCGCTCAGATCCTGGACCCCGCCGAGGGTTTCGGCTTTGTGGGATCTGGGCTGAACCTGGCAACCGGTGGCTGCCAGGGGCAGAGCTACTCTGTCACGGGACACAGCGGTGAGAATACCTACATGTGCTATTTTTTCATTATCTTACTTAAAATTTTATTAATATTTTTTTTCATACATTTTTTATTAATATTTTATTTTTTCATTTTTTTATTTTTTTATTTTTTTATTAATTTGTATTAATTTGTATAATTTTTTATTTATTTTTTATTATTTTTTTATTAATTTGTTTAATATTTTTTTATTAATATTTTATTAATATTTCCCCACAATCATAATTCCATTGTGACAAAATATATTACATAAAAGAAATGTGACGGTCAGTTAAATAATAGAAGATCCAAGAATAATTTTTTAAAGCAAAACATAGAATCTTATTAAGAAATTATAATAGAAATATAAATTTAAGATAATAATTTTCTTAAGTAAGTGGTACACTTTAAGTATTGTGGTTTAGTTGTTAGGGGCATTCATATATTTCTTCTTTAATTTCTTATTCTGTCAGTTTCAGCCCTGAAATATGTGTAATAGAAAAGGCTGCTGTTCCCTTTTTACACTGTCACTACAGCCGGACTTACTTTGTTTTGTTTTTGACTCATGAGGCCCGTTTAATATCAACAACACTGTGTTTGAAATGTTTGACATCTGACATGTTTTCGAGGGTGAAAATCGGAGCTAAAACAGCATCTAAATTCCTCCGGTTGTCATGGTTACATGGTTCTTTGCTTATCTATGAGTGGTCAGTGTCTGAAACCCCTTTGCGTTAAATATCGAGTCCCTTTGGCAGTTTTTTATTCATGCTTAGAGCCGGTGGTTTGTAAGAGAAAACAGTCTAAGGCAGTGTTTTTCAACCATTTTTGAGCCAAGGTACATTTTTTCATTGAAAAAATCACGAGGCACACCACCAACCAAAAATGTTAAACAAATCTGTAGCCGCCTATAGTAACACTATAGTTATTCTTATCTTATCTTAAGTGTCATGAATAGGAATCAATTAAACACAAAAATGTATTTTTATCATATTTTATATTTCTTCTTTCAAATTGCACTTAACATGTCCACTTCAATATACAAAATTATATACAAAATCTAGTCATAAGGAATTATTACATGATTACGCCACCAGTCACTAGAACAGCACAGACACTCAAAAATGGCACATTATTTGCAGATAATTAATTCCTTATCAAAAAATCTTTTTAGACCAATTAGGTGAAATAGGATGATTTTCTACGGCACACCTGACCATCACTAGTGTACCGAGGCACAGTGGTTGAAAAACACTGATCTAGAGAACTGAAAAATGAAGCAAATAGAAGCTGCTGTTTCTCCTGGTGGTCAGAAAATTGATGTTTTTAATGGTTGAGGCTCGAATCTGATTGATAATTGTATCGTATTTGAACCTAAACAGCTTTAATGCAGTTTGTACCAGGTTTTAAACTGTGGAAGTTCCTACTCGGAAAGATCCTTAATAAGTGAATGTTTCTACAGTGGTTGAAAAACACTGGTCTAAGGCTGTAAACCTTCCTCCAGCAGGATATTACGGCGGGTACCTGGACGGCCAGCGCTTGACCTCGATGGTGGACCAGCACGTGTCCGTTATTAGCAGCGTCGGCAGCCTGAGGCATTTCCCGTCCAGCTTCTCCGAAGTCCACGACCCGCTGAACATCCTGGACGAGCCGGGCCGGAAAACCACGGCGGGGTTTTTCAGCGAGGTGGAAACCGGAGCAGGTGAGGAGAGGAGGAGCTTACACTGTTGTTTTCCATAATATTCACTCGGTGTCTCGCTCATATTATTCTGAGAAGGCAAGGCAAGTTTATTTGTATAGCACATTTAGTGTACAAGACAATTCAAAGTGCTCCACAGAGAATTTAAAAGCAGAAAAACAATAGACTTGTACACAAGCAGAGCTGTTTTAAAGTCTTTTCTCTGAGTGACAGAACTGGGGTTATGTTGGATAACGTTTTCTTCCACTGTTGAGTGGCATCATGAGTCAGTTCCAATAAGTTCTGCTTAAATGATTGAGGATAATATTAATTTACCAAATGGAGGCAGAGGTCAATAAGGATCAGCCCAAAACAACAAATTAGTCAGAAATAAGCTATTGGAGATTGCAAAGTTAGAATTCAAACATTTAAAAGTGTTTCATGTGTTGAAAGATAAGATATCAATAAAGTTCAGTCTGAGTCTAAGTCTAAGTCTATTCATGTGGATAGTGCTGAGATGGGCTGCAGGAGACTGGGGAACAAACTAAGTTTTATTTAGAAAAAGACAACAGGAAGTGCAGCCAAGCCAGAATAACCAGAAACTCTGCTTGAAAAAAATATGAAAAATTAAAAAAGTGCCACACCCCCTACAGGGCACGTAACAGTGATTTCAAAATAAATAAATAAATAATCTGATTCAGAAAATCGAGGTCTCAGACAGTTCTGGCCTTTTTTGATATGCAACATGACCACATTCCTGTTGGAAAAACCTGCCCCTGATCCAATATGGCGGCTTTTCAAGATG